GATCAATGCAGATTGAGTACATATTGATTACTAAACACACATCCAGTCCGAATCTAATACTGCATGACCTATGACATAAGTACTTATTCAGAAAAGGCAAGGGAGAAAGGGACAAGAAAACATCATTTAAATAATTCCAATCTATACATGAGGAAGATTGCAGACTTAGAGGGAGATAAAATAACAGTCTGCAGCCTAAGGCAGGGATGGGCAAAAGACAAATCAAGATCTACAGGTAGATTTATGGGTGATTTGCAGCAGATCTGCAGCAAGGTTTAGGAGTAGGGCAACTGAACACACATATGAAATATATATATATATATATATATATATATATATATATATATATATATATATATATATATTTGCTTTCGTAGATTTTCACGGGTACAGGAATTCAGGTTTTGGTGTCCTCGGGTGTCTTCCCGTGTAAAAGTTGGGGTGTCTAGGCGACGTTTCGACGAGGTCTCACTCGTCATCTTCAGGCTGGTGCTTTCGGCTTCTTGTTACTGGAACAGAGCAGGATCTCAGTGTTTGAGTTCCTATAAATACTGTTGAGGGGGTGTGGTGTATAGCCTCCAATGTTCTGGGCAGAGAGGAAGTTCCCAGGTTAGTGTGCCTTTTCTTCTTTTGTTCCTTAATTACTTGAGGGATATCTTGAGTGATTTCTTGAGTGATATCCTGAGTACCACTTAGGTGGGTCATTAGGTGTGGATTAGTTGCTAAAGCCTTCGTGTCTTGACTTCTTGAACTTTGTGAAGAGTTTTTCTGAGAAGATGGCTGTACTGCACTTAGTTGTGCTCTGGCTTGGCTTCGTGTATAGGGGCGAGCTGTGGTTTTGTGTCCTGTGCCAGCCAGATCTGTGTAGGGATTGCAGGGGGTGCAGCATCCGGAACATTGGAGGCTATACACCACACCCCCTCAACAGTATTTATAGGAACTCAAACACTGAGATCCTGCTCTGTTCCAGTAACAAGAAGCCGAAAGCACCAGCCTGAAGATGACGAGTGAGACCTCGTCGAAACGTCGCCTAGACACCCCAACTTTTACACGGGAAGACACCCGAGGACACCAAAACCTGCATTCCTGTACCCGTGAAAATCTACGAAAGCAAATATCTCACCTCTACGGGGAGGAAACCTTCCAGCTGACAAGAACCTACGAGAAACTAGAAATCCGAAGAGCCACCATCTTATGTGATCTCTTGTTCCTACGCAACTGCCGAGACAACAACTTAATTCCCACATGCTTCCAACTTAAATTCCACTCTAAAACCCCAGCTACCGAAAGGATCCTGAAACGAACTGAACTATCCCTAATCAGAAACGAACTACATAAGAAAAGATACCTACTAAACCAAACCAACAAAGATCTGCTCACTCTTCACCTCAAACTCTGTAACAAAATCCACCCTGCACTCTGGGACAAATGCAAACAACTAGCCGTCTGGAGAGCTGAAACTGAGACCTCACATAAGACAGACACACACACCAACAAACTCCACAAACTAGAGAAACGCCAGAAGCCCAGCCACCCTCCACAACAACCCATGAAACAAACAGTACATAACATATCAGACAGGATCCTCACCTCAACTGAAACCAAAGTACTCTCCAAAGGTTTCAACTTTGCAGTCGCCCCGAGACGCATCCCCACGGAAAACATCATATGCGGAGTCGAAGCTAGCCTAACCAAAATCAACCCAGATGAAGCCAATAAAATCAGACTTGAAGTCACCAACATCCTCTGCTCCAGCAAACCACCCAGAAGCAATTTACACAAAGAAGAACAGAAAGCACTCACCAACCTGAGGAAAGACAACAACATAATCATTCTCCCAGCAGACAAAGGTAATGCCACTGTTGTGATGAACACATCGGACTACCAAGCAAAACTATCAAATCTACTCCAAGACCCTACCTACCAACCTATAAAAACAGATCCCACCACCTATCTGGAAAAAACCACCAAATCCAAAATAAAAGCCTCTCCTATCAGTGAAGAAATCCAGCTAAGAATCATCCCCAGAGAAAAATCATCCAGATGCCCCAAACTCTACGGCCTCCCCAAGATACACAAAGAAGGAACACCACTCAGACCAATAGTCAGCTCCATAGGCTCACCTCTACAAAATCTCGCTAAATTTCTCGCTAAGCAACTTCAGCCCTATGCAGAATCCATCTCTTCACACGTTACAAACTCCTTCCAGTTCATAGAAACAATAAAGAAGCAAAACCTACATCCCAATGACCTACTTGTGAGCTTCGATGTTGTATCTCTCTTCACACAAGTGCCCATTAATGAAGCCTTGACAGCCGTTCAAAACAAATACAATCCCCCCGAATACATCCTGGACCTGACCAACCACTGCCTAACCAACACGTACTTCATCCACAATGGACAAAGATACAAACAGATAGAAGGAGCACCTATGGGATCACCACTCTCACCGGTCATCGCAAACCTGTACATGGAACACTTTGAAACCAATGCTTTAGACAAGTCAGAACACAAACCCAAACTTTGGCTCAGATATGTTGACGACACCTTTGTAATTTGGCCACACGGGAAGGAAAAACTAGATAGCTTCCTCACACATCTCAACAGCCTACACCCCAAAATACAATTCACTATGGAAATAGAAGCCAACAACCAACTTCCCTTCCTTGACGTCCTAATCTACAAAAAACCTGATGGCTCCCTAGGACACACTATCTACCGGAAAAAAACACACACCAACCGCTACTTACATGCACAATCACACCACCACCCTGCACAAATAAACTCCGTAGCCAAGACTCTCATCTCCAGAACCAAACGCCTGGCTGACAAAGACCACTTGACAACTGAGTTACAGAATCTCTCCAATGTGTTAATCGCCAATGGATACCAGCAAAACAGGGTTACGAAGCTAATGCAAAAAGAAACACCCCCCAAAAACCAAGACACAGAAGAAAACAATGGCATGGCCCTCCTTCCTTATATCAAGGGCACTACAGATAAAATTAGCAAAATCCTCCATAAACACAATATCAAAACAGCCTTTTGCACCAACCAAAAAATAGCCAATATCCTCAGAAACCCCAAGGATAAAATCCAGTTGGAAAACCAAGGGGTCTATGAAATACCCTGCAAAGTCTGCCCAGCCACGTACATTGGACAAACAAACAGACGAATAAATGCACGTATCGCAGAACACAAGAATGCCGTCAAAAAAAGAAGAAAAAACTTCCTCTCTTTTCCAACACATGAAAGAAACAGGACACGAAATTAATTTTGCAGATTCCAAATTGCTCTCTAACATGGAACATCACCACAAGAGAATAATCATGGAAGCCATCGAGATAGAGAAACACCCTCACAACATGAACAAGCGTGACGACACATCCCGCCTGCCAGACATCTGGAAATTAGCCCTCCCCACAAAAACCGACACCAGATCCAGAGGCACACAGAACGCCATCACCAATCAACCACACCAGACCCAAACCCAGACCCTCTCCACAGATAAATTACAGACACCATCCAGTAGCCAAACCATGGTGGCACCTCCGGATGCTGCACCCCCCTGCAATCCCTACACAGATCTGGCTGGCACAGGACACAAAACCACAGCTCGCCCCTATACACGAAGCCAAGCCAGAGCACAACTAAGTGCAGTACAGCCATCTTCTCAGAAAAACTCTTCACAAAGTTCAAGAGGTCAAGACACGAAGGCTTTAGCAACTAATCCACACCTAATGACCCACCTAAGTGGTACTCAGGATATCACTCAAGAAATCACTCAAGATATCCCTCAAGTAATTAAGGAACAAAAGAAGAAAAGGCACACTAACCTGGGAACTTCCTCTCTGCCCAGAACATTGGAGGCTATACACCACACCCCCTCAACAGTATTTATAGGAACTCAAACACTGAGATCCTGCTCTGTTCCAGTAACAAGAAGCCGAAAGCACCAGCCTGAAGATGACGAGTGAGACCTCGTCGAAACGTCGCCTAGACACCCCAACTTTTACACGGGAAGACACCCGAGGACACCAAAACCTGCATTCCTGTACCCGTGAAAATCTACGAAAGCAAATATATATATATATATATATATATATATATATATATATATATATATATGCAGAACTGCCAATGCCAGAATACCATTATAGAGATGCATGTGTGATCACACTTGGAATACTGTGTCTAGTTCTGGTCAACTCAATGAGGATATTGCAGAGCTGGAAGAGGTTCGCAAAAGAGCAGCAGCAGCAGCAACAACAACAACAACAATGTTTATTATTTGTACCCCACCCATTTGACTGGGTTGCCCCAGCCACTCTGGGGTTGGAGTAACTTCCCTAATGAGGAATGTTATACCGTTTGGGAATTTTTAGTTTAGAAGGCTCCCCTCTCTCCTGGTCTCCCAGGACCAGGAGAAGTATGAAGAGGGAGAAGCGGAGACAGGCGCGCTGGCATAGTCTCAGATGACTTGGGAAGGACTCAGGGGAAGAAGAGACTTCGGCAGCTCAGGGAAGGCAGGGATCTTCAGCCTCCACAACTGCCTCATAGGGGCAAGACCTACAAAGAAGAGTTGCTGTGCTCATTAGGCCTGACACTCCTGAGCAGACCTTGTTTCTTCTAATAGTGAGTTAGCTTCACTTACTCCTTGTGATTTATTGCTGGCTCACTCCTGACACAAGGCCAGCTCCATGGGAGTTTTTGTTTTCATACTGAATGATGAACTTTCGTACCAACATGGGAAAGCAACAGATCTGATGATTGCTGGAGAATGCTGGACACTACTTTGCCTTGTGTGTCTGGGTGGGTCCAAGAACCTATCAAAACCTAGCATGCCAAGGGGCAAAATTCCAACCTTGCCTTCTTCCTGACATGCTTGTTTTCTGCATGCAAGGATTTTTTTAAACAATAAAAAATTGCAGAGGAGCATTTATATGTGCTCTCCCATGGTACATACGGTTCCCGAAATACCATACCGTGTACTGAATATGTAGCCTAGCCCTGTTACCTTAAAGTCCCTTTTCTGTAGAGTAGCAGGACAGCTCCCAAGAGCAGCAAGACAAGGAACAGAACAACGACTGTCCCAGCAATTGTAGCACCAGCCTTTTGAGTACTCCGGTTACTGCCAGTGGCTGCATGCAGGGTCCTCACCGCAATGCCAAACAGCACTCCTGCAAAAGCCAAACAAAATGTTACCGCCCTGATGAGGTGTCCAATTAGTTTGCATGGAGTAAATGATCCATTTTCCTGCTAGACAGCAAATGACTCTATTCTACCTGTTGCCCCCATCATTATTCTATTGCTGATTTGCTTATACCAGACAGAATTGGTGCTGCCACTGCAATGTTATTTCCAAGGACACATTAGCACTGTACAATGGTAACTTGGTTTTTGAAACACCTTAGTTCACGAACAACTTGGAACCTGAACGCTGCAAAACCAGAAGTAAATGTTCTGGTTTTCAAACTTTCTTTCAAAAGCCGAACATGCTCCGTTTTGAGTCCCCCTGTGTTTCCTGTTGCGCTGCTAATTTGCATCCCCCCATTGTAATTCTGAGGTGATATTTGGAGATTATATTTGGTGCTTTTGTTTTTGCTATTTATTTTGCGTTTTTTGTTTTGAGGCTTTTTCAGTTAATTTGTTTTTGTGACTGTGTGGATCCCAGTTCAGCTACTGATTGATTGATTGATTGATTGATTGATTGTGTGACTGCAAAATGAATAAAAGCCCCCCATCCAAACAATGACTATCATCAGTGCAGGTAAGAAAGTTTTTTAATTCTAATTTTTATCATCTAGAATACTGTTTTGTTTATTGTATAGTACAGTACATTGATTATTGCTTTCATTTTATGGATCAATGGTCTCGTTAGATAGTAAAATTCATGTTAAATTGCTGTTTTAGGGGTTCTTTTTAAAAGTCTGGAATGGATTAATCCATTTTGCATTACTTTCTATGGGAAAGCGCACCTTGGTTTTGGAACGCTTTGGTTTTGGAATAGACTTCCGGAACGGATTAAATTTGAGAACCAAGGTACCATTGTACACCCAAAGCACTATAATACCATTTTGTCAGTCATGGCATCTCCTAAAGATTCCTGGGTAGAATAATAGAATTATAGAACAGGAAGGGACCACCAGGGTCATCTAGTCCAAACTGCTGCTATGCAGGTATCTTCTGTCCAAAGTGGGACTTGAACACACAACCCTGAGATTAAGAATCTCATACTCTACTGACAGAGCTATAGTTAGTTAAGGGTGCTGAGAGTTGTTAAGAACCATAGAATTGTAGAGTTGGAAGAGACCTCAAGGGTCATTTAGTCCAACCCTGTGCAATGCAGGGATCTTTCTGCCCAACGCAGGACTTGAACCCATGGCCCTGAGTTTAAGAGGAAGAGGCCCTCATTTGCCTCCCAGAGCTACAATTCCCACAGTTCCCTGGGAAGAGGGATTGTTAAACCCCTCTGGGAACTAAAGCTCTGTGAGAGGAATAAGGGTCTCCTAACAGAGCACAATTTCTGTTCTTATCCACAATTTCTCCGCCAGAGCACAATTTCTGTTCTTATCCTGAAGCAAAGTTCTTAACCTGAAGCACTATTTCTGGGTTAGCGGAGTCTGTAACCTGAAGCGTATGTAATCTGAGGTACGACTGTACTAAAATGTGTATATTAGGGGACAGTGTGCCAACCCCCCAAACCCCAAACATAGATTAGCTAAAAAAAATCACACACACAATGCATTATTTTAGGGGAAACTGCTTGCAAAAATGGTTATGCAACCAAAACGATATTCCAAAGGAGAAATTCACACCTGGTGGGTTTTCATGAGGAAACAAAGGTTCTTTTGTGAAGTGCAGCCTGTGTTTTAATAGAGAGACATGAAGGGACAGAAACATGATAATAGCATGGAACAATTTTCCTGCAGTGAGTTATCTCTCCTGGCTTGTAATACTTGTAAAGGGTCACTGCTGTTTTGCTCATTTCATACCTCAGGCCCAGTATACTTGAAGGAGCGTCTCCACCCCCATCACTCAGCCTGGACACTGAGGTCCTCCTCTGAGGGTCTTCTGGTGGTTCCCTCACTGTGAAAAGTGAGGTTACAGGGAACGAGGCAGAGGGCCTTCTCTGCAGTGGCACCCTCCCTGTGGAATGCCCTCCCAGCAGAGGCCAAGGAGATAAAGAACTACACAACTTCTAGAAGACATCTGAAGGCAGTCCTGTATCAGGAAGTTTTTAATGTTTTACATTTTACAGTGGTACCTCGGGTTACATACACTTCAGGTTACACACTCCACTAACCTAGAAATAGTGCTTCAGGTTAAGAACTTTGCTTCAGGATAAGAACAGAAATTGTGCTCCGGCAGCGCGGCAGCAGCAGGAGGCATCATTAGCTAAAGTGGTGCTTCAGGTTAAGAACAGTTTCAAGTTAAGTACGGACCTCCGGAACGAATTAAGTACTTAACCCGAGGTACCACTGTACTGTTTTTATATGTACTGTAAGCCAGCCAGAGAGGCTGAGGAAACCCAGCCAGATTGGCGGGGTATAAATAACAAAATTATCATTATAAATTATTATTGTAAGTCATGCAGAAATGTAGAGAACTGAACTTGAGAGAATCTGAAAGCCACAAATCCGCACATCCCTGCCACACCGACAAGGCACAGATTGCTGCCCAGGGCAAAGTGCTTTATCCTAGCATTGGAGGCTTCACACAAGACCAACAGAACAAGGATCTGAAGCAGCAAGGGGCTGGGCTGGCAAGCCTTACCATGCTCTGTTATATCCTTCACGATGTCCTGGGCCAGTTGCTCGGCTTGAGTCCCAGTCTCAGATCCGGTCCTGTTGTCGACCAGAACAATCTGGATGAACGAGGCTGAGCTACGCGGTATCGTTCTCAGGAAAGTCTGCCGCTCACGCACCTTTGACACAGCCGCCTGAACTCCTGTGTTCTTGGGCTTTGCAAAACACAAACAACACACGGAACACAGTCACCATGTCTGCTGTGGTATGCCCGGTAGAATCTCTGTACAGTGGGACCTCAGTTTTCAAACAGCTTAGTTCACGAACAACTTGGAACCTGAACGCTGCAAAACTGGAAGTAGGTGTTCCGGTTTTCAAATCCTTTTTCGGAAGCCAAACATCCTCCGTTTTGAGTCCCCCTGTGTTTCCTGTTGCGCTGCTAATTTGTGCCCCCCCCATTGTAATTCAAGCGTTCCGTTTCCAATTGCAGTGTTCTGAGGTGATATTTGGAGATTATATTTGGTGCTTTTATTTTTGCTATCTATTTTGCGTTTTTTGTTTTGAGACTTTTTCAGTTAATTTGATTTTGTGACTATGTGGATCACAGTTCAGCTACTGATGGATTGATTGTGTGACTGCGAACATACCAAACTGAGAAATGTGTGGAGTATTCTGTTCTGATACACCTCGATCTCAAAACCAGCAGAATATTCCAAGGAAATGATGGCTCCTGCAGTTTTTTATATAAAAAAGAAAGAAGGCAAGAAAACATAACCATTGGTTTAGTAATTGCTATGAACCTCCTACCTATAGGTGGTCATTGATAGCTCTAGCAGCTGAGTTGGTTGCTGAAGGGTGGTGCGTGTTTTTAGATGACCCTGTGAATCCCAGAGCAATCCTACAATCCTAATTGGCACTTCTAGATCGTTGGATACAGTAAGCCAGCAACTTACACAGGGGTTATGTTCCGGGGATTGCACCTAAAGCCCAAATTGTGTACACAGTGGTACCTCCGGTTACGAACTCAATCTGTTCCGGAGGTCCGTTTGTAACCCGAAACCGCTCGTAACATGAGGCGCGCTTTCGGTAATGGAGCCTCCTGCTGCTGCCGCGCTGATGGCATGCGACTTCCGCTCGCATCCTGGGGCGAAAGTTGCAACCGAGAGCATCTACTTCTGGGTTAGCAGAGCTCGTAACCCGCAGTCTTTGCAAGGGGGACGGTACATAACACAAGGTTCCACAGTAGTCAAGACACATTGGGTTCAGTGGCAGGTGGGATTGCCAAAGCCGTCCCTCCCACCAGATGTGTGCCCCTTTCAGCACCATTTTTAATTTTATTTCCCCCAAACGCATAAAACTGAATGTGCACAAGTTAAATATGTGTAAGCTACAAGCTTAAGCCCAGCAGAGGGCAGGGTTGAGGCTAATGACAGTGAGGGAAAATTTGCATTCTGGCCAAATTCCCGCTCCCCCCCACCCTTTCTCACGATGCAGCCATGATTAACCAACTCCCACCTTGTAGGCTTAGAATCCAAATCCATCCTCATAAAGTTGAAGAAACTGCAAGAACCTTTTCTTCATTACCAATGGGACTTCTGTGTGTTTGACGCATGAATGTGGCAGAACAGGGGCTGGTGGGACTGGTAGCTCCACCTCTCTAGCTTTTAACTCTGCTATGTACGCCAATCTTATTTTTAAAACCCAAGGTAGACTTCCTGGGGCCTGGAGTACCCTTGGCCCTGTAGCAGGTAGCATATCTCACTTGCTGACGTTCTTAACTCTTCTGCAATTCTCCTCTATAGTCTACCTGATCTCTTGCAGGTGACACATTAGAAGCTGTAACTGTGAGGAGTGGCTGGATAAATCACCCTACATCATACCAGGTGGTTGACTAGATACCCTTTTGCTCTCTCCAGAGGTCTCCACCTAATCATAATATAATAATTTATTATTTACACCCCGCCCATCTGGCTGGGTTTCCCCAGCCACTCTGGGCGGCTTCCAACAAAATATTAAAATACAATAGTCTATTAAACATTAAAAGCTTCCCTAAACAGGGCTGCCTTCAGATGTCTTCTAAAAGTCTGGTAGTTGATGTTCTCTTTGACATCTGGTGGGAGGGCGTTCCACAGGGCGGGTGCCACTACCGAGAAGGCCCTCTGCCTGGTTCCCTGTAACTTGGCTTCTAGCAGCGAGAGAATGCCAGAAGGCCCTCGGAGCTGGACCTCAGTGTCTGGGCAGAACGATAGGGGTGGAGATGCTCCTTCAGGTATACTGGACCGAGGCCGTTTAGGGCTTTAAAGGTCAGCACCAACACTTTGAATTGTGCTCGGAAACGTACTGGCTGTGTGCACTTGAGATCCATGCACGCATACTCTTCACACGTGCCCCACATTTGTAGGGTGGCCCTTCTTATACCAGCTATTTCTGCAAAACCATCCAAACGAATTGCCTACAAGGCCACCATCTTAGAAGCTATGCAGAAGCCGAGGTCTCCACAGCTCATATGTGATGAACATGCTTTGAAGGTCCCAGGTGTGCTTCCACTGCATCTGCAGGTAAATGGAACAGGTGGGAGGTATTGGCAAAGTCCTGTGCCCAAGACAGATGGGCACAGGGTGGAAAAGAAGGAAGGGACAGCCCAAGCTTCAGGCAGCTTTATGTGAGATGAATTAATGTGCATGCACACCTGACAGGCAAAAGATCAACCCCTGGCATCTCCAGCTGAAGCCGGGAGGGAGAGATCCCTCCCTGAAACCTGGAGAGCCACAGCCAATCAGGGCAGACAATTCTGAGCTAGATGGACTTTGTATCGGCCACTTTCCTATTGTAATAAAAATTTTAAGGTCTTATATATACAATAAATGTTCATAAATGTACCAAGCAAACACGTGCATAAATATATAAAGCAGCACAGGAAGACCGCCCTGAAACCATTTTGTCTCCCAAACTGACCAAATGTTTCTCTGCCAGGAGGGAGGGGGTGAGGGAACCTTCCCATTGTCTCAGGAATTAAGTGATTACCATCTCAAAGGAATGGCCAGACTACCAGAAAAGGCAATCAGGTAACTTGCCAGACAGGAGATAAACAGTGCAGTCAGATTTCTGTTGTAGACCGCCTTTTCTGTGATGTAGGCATGATGTTTGCAGGGGGTGGTCTTGGGTTACACCTCTTCTGTGATGTATTTATGATGTATGGAGGGGTGGTGTTGAGCTCCAGGGCAGGGAATTTAAAATGTCTATATAAGGGCAGGCACACCTTTGTTCTGGGTCCTCCTCCGCTCCTTCGCTGTGTGTGAGGAGAGCACCCTGTTGCAAGATCAGGCTTACTAGCTGCTTTGCTTCTCAATATTCTCTGGTTGGCCTCTGTTATTTTCTCCTACTGATGGAGAACCTACAAAGGACTCTAAGGGCTCTTGTGTACCCCATAAGGGAATAAGGGCAGATTTTGTTTACAACACTATGTATCAATGTCTTCTGCCCCCACCCAATGCAAAGTGCGAGACAGCTATAATGTGCCGTTTTCATGGAAAGAGTCGATGCGGCCTCGTCTGTTCTACAGGAACTCTGATCCATTTAATTTGCTGCTCTATCAATGCTAATGGGACTCGGCTTCCTCTCTGCAAGGGGCACCGTTTTACAGACAGCTGGAGCAACTTGCATCGGCTTATTCTTTCCCCTTCACATCTCCACACTACTACTCAGATTAGACCTGTCTTCCTACCACATCATTGCTCCTGCTCCCAAATGGTAAATTCTGCCCAGACTGAACCTCCATGCTTAGATCGCTTAAACCAAGGGTGCGGAAACTCAAACTCGGGGGGGCCAAATGTGCCCCTCCAAGACCACTGGGACTCCAAACCACAACCCTTCTTTCTAGGCTTTGGCTCTCACAAACCCGACTTTGCACCTTCAGTGTTCTCCCCTGGGTGGAATGTATCCTTGAACTCTGATAATGCCTCTTTCTTGCCTGCACAAAGGATAGAGAAGGGTGTGTTGCAGAAACTAGACTGCTGTACTATGTACAGTGGTACCTTGGTACTCAGACGGTTTGGTTCACGAACAAATCGGCTCCCAAACGCCGCAAACCCAGAAGTGAGTGTTCTGGTTTCCCAACATTTTTCGGAAGCCGAACATCCGATGCGGCTTCCGTTTGAGTGCAGGAAGCTCCTGCAGCCAATCGGAAGCTGCGCCTTGGTTTTCGAAGCATTTTGGGAGTCGAACAGACTCCTGGAACGGATTACATTTGAGAAGCAAGGTACCACTGTATATTCATTACTCCATTTTGCTTCTGGCCCCATCCATCACTTGAACGTGGCCACCAAACGTTACACATGGCTCTCTGGCTGAAAAAGATTCCCCATCCATGGCTTAGAGTCAGTGCTTCTTCTTCTTCAGCTGGAGAACGCCAGGGTGCAGTTCTGGCGCCTCTCAAGTGGTTGCCATTGCGGGCCGATGCCCCCTCCGCCTGCGCCTTGCTTTTAAGTACTTCTGAGAAGCCCAAAACAAACATTTCAAGTCAAAACAGAAGCTGGTCAGCATGTGCGAGTCTACACTTGTTGTTGCTGTTTTAGATCTGTGAGTCCACCTAGCTCCTAACCGCTCCTAGCCCTGATTGGTCAAGCTGCAAGGTGGGGTCAATTCATATTTCCTTTTCTTCAATCCATATCTCGTGTAGCGGCGGCAGGCTTTAAGCTTTGCAGCAAGGCCTCTATTGTTGCACACACACACAGGTTTGTGTGAGGGCCCTTCTGAACTGCTCTAGCCATCCTCCTGAGTCTCGGAGGTGGCGGTGGAGGTGCATTTATTTGACCTGCACCAGAACCAGGGGTACCCCCCAAACCAGCTAGAGAGACAGCACGCCGTGGTTTTTTTCTTGAAAAAAAAGGCACTGCTTATAGTCATGCAAAATCACCTCTTTTTATGATTTTAGCCGCTCTGAGCCCGGCTTTGGCTGAGGAGGGCGGGGTACAAATAAAAATGTATTATCATTATTAAAAACATGGTGCCAACTTAGCACAAAAAAGCCTGCTTGCCAGCCACTTATAGGTTTGAGTAAACCTGGATTTTCCTGGCACAGAACTGATGCTTGTGGGGGTTTCAAGAGGTGCAGCCAACCCTGTCTTTACCCAGGAGGAACTACAGTGGCAGGCCACTGAACTTCATGTTCTCCATGGCTCTGTATTAGTTTATTGGTTTTTCCCTGGTGAAGAAAAAAAGCGGCTTCTGAAAAAATGTTATTTTAATTGCTTTAAAAGACTCGCCTAAGCAGCATATGGTGGCACCCTAAAGCATTCAGTTTTCATATGGTAATTAGGAACACTGTACAGAAAACCTCCACGTCTGCCTCCCAGGTAAACTAACAGACGAAAACCACGAGGAAGAAGAACGAGAAATGGAACTAACCTGTTGGATATATATGTCTCATTTTTAAATTGCATTTCAATTTAGGTCCAGCACAGTTGTCTTTAGTTGGCCTCAGTTCCAGCTGTAGGCTGGAATGGGTTCCTAGCAATAAATAGGGGCTGAAATAATTTGGTAATTCGCGATCTTTTGCTTTTGTGCTCAGGGCTGAGATAATTACGGTATGGACAATGAGATATAGACAACGCACCAGGCGCCTTGTCTGATCTCCACGCTGTGGTAAACTTCCACCTGCTGATTTCAGGCTTGTTGCTGATAGCGCTAAAGCAGCCCAAGTTCGGTTTCCCCCTGGCCACTTAGCAACTCTGGGTTTAAGATGAAGCACTGTCTGTCGTGACCCAGCCTACCAGACTTGGGACTCCGCTACATTAGCAAAGAAAAAACGCTTTATATGCATTGTTTAACACTGTGACACCAGATGGCGCTGCAGAGTCCTGTTTTTGCTTACCCAATTTCTCATACAAGGTTTGCAAAGCATTTAACTGAAACACTTCTTTCATGTGTCTAGGACTACCAGGAGCTGGGCACTGCCTCAGCAGGAGAGAGGACAGGCAGATCTATTATAAAATCCTCAACCTGGTTTTGGACTACAACTCCCATCAGCCCCATCAGTCAGGAGTGATGGGAGTTGTAGTCTAAAACAAGGTTGAGGATTTTATCATAGACATGGGGCAAAGTCACTCTTTCCTCGTTTCCTGGACTTGAAGGTTTTTTTGTCAGATTTCTCTACATTAAACTCACTTGAGGAGTACTGGAGAGAATTGAGTTCGAAACCTCACTCAGCTACAGAGCTGACTGACTGGGTGATTTGGGGTAAGTCATCATATCTCAACCGAATGTACCCCACAGACTTGTTGCTGAAAGGAAAAGAGGGAAAGAACCATGTGTGATGCCCAGAATTCTTTGGAGAAAGAGTAGGATATTGATAAATGTGGAGAAATAGCCTTTATCTCTCACCTTCGCCTAGATCACAAAATTGTTCCTTAGGAAAAATGAGATAATCCTGTGAATGTCAGGCTGGGGCTTTTAAGAAGAAGGATTAGGTAGGACTGCATCCGGCAAATAAACTGACTCCCCATGCAGTCTGAGCTCCCATTGGAGAAATTTAAAGAAGCTACCATATGATGGATGGTTGTCTAATGTGAAAAGAGCAGAGTGTTATGTAATGGATTGAGTATCAGAATGGGGAAAATCTAGGATCACATCTCCATTAAAAGCTGATAAATTCACGGTGTTAGGGGCTGCCAGGAGAATAAACTTGTGTGTGTTTAAAATATGCCATTCTGTCATGACATCTTGGGAGGGTGGCAAAGATGCAAAGCTACTTAACCATTTTTTATTGCAAGATGTTTGCTGGAATTTCAAATTCAGGATGCAGTGCTATCCACACTTAGTTGGGTGTAAGCCCCCCTGCATACAGTGGGTCTTACTTCTGAGTAAACATGGATAGGATTGCATTATTAACTAATTCCCCCCCTCAATATTTTCACTTATAAGTCCTCCTGAGTTAACTGTTGATGAGACCCCAGGTATGTACATAGATGGGGACATAGGCAAGATGCTGAAAAGGAGGGAGGGTACCAACTGGGTAGCCATTTATGAAATGTGCCTGCCCACAGACCAAGAGAGATCATATTCTGAAGTGGGGATGGAGAACCTGTGGCTGCCCGATGTTGCTGAAATACAACTTCAACTTTTTATTTTGTTTTTCTCATCGATGTTCTGTAATGTGTTTTTAATGTTTACACCACCCTGGGATCTCCTGGTAAAGGGTAGTATATAAATTGAATTACCGTATTATTATTATTATTATTATTATTATTATTATTATTGACTCCCATTGTCAAAGGTCCCCTAGCCCTGCTCCCTTCTTTCTTTAAAAAAAACAACACCTCACCTCAAGTCAATTTTCAAAAGCAACATCTGTAACTGTTCAAAATGTGAAAAGTTTGAACTTACGTTGAATTTCAACACGTAGCACTGTTCCGGCTTTACTTTTGATGCAGTACACATATTGCCATGAAGGGCTAATCCACACTTAGCTTCCCTCTGCTTTTTCTAGGCACAGTCTGAAGTTTAAAGCTCTGTGTCCAAACACCATCCCACCCACACCCACCCTTTTTCTCCGAAGCTTTCCCTGCACATATCCGCTCTTTAAACCTCAATTGGAGCAAACGTCAATCTGCAGAAAACCCCAACTAGCATTTGCTCCGATTCAGCTTAGAAGAGCGGATTTGCATGGGGAAAACTTGGGGTGGAGGAAAAAACAAACTCAGACACGGAGTGTTAAAGCACAGACCTCTGTCTAGAAAGAGTGGGGCAAAAAGTAGATGTAGATAAGCCCTAATATAGGAACATGGGAATCTGCCTTATATCATAGAATCGTAGAATTGGAAGGCACCCTGAATATCTAGTCCAGACATGCTCAACCGGTCGACAGCCATCGACAGGTAGATCCCCGGCGTGATCCTGGTCGATCGTGGGTGATCCTGGTCGATCACAGTATTAAATGAAGAGGGCTAGGAATGTCGCCACCCTCCGCCCCAAAAGAAACTCCCCAAAAGAAGCTCGACAACTCTTGGTAATCTCCCCCCGCTTCCAGTTAGCAGCCACCTTCCACCCACCCCACGCACGCTCCTCCTCCCTCCAATGGGTAGATCACCGTCGGTTTTTTTAATACTGGGAGTAGATCGCAGTCTCTTGGGAATTGGACATGCAGGAATATGCAGCTGTCCCATATGGGGTTCAAACCTGCAACCTTGGCATTATCACCACCGTGTTCTAACCAACTGAGCTATCCAGGCTGACCTCACTGGCTCGTCTAACTTAGAGTTATTGACTGGCAGTGACTCTCTCGGAGTCTCAGGCAGGAGATGTCAAGGACTGAACCCGGGGCCCGATGATAAGATCATTTTGGTGTGAGGTGAGGATATTTATAGCAAGAGTAATAAAAAGAAATTGTTATTTAGGGGAACTGAATTCTAAATTATATTCCAGAAATGTGGGAGATTTCAAGGGGTCAAAAAATATGTACCGTGCTATATTAGAAGCAAAAAAAAACTTGTTTTGATGAATTGGAAGAGCCACAAAAAGATTCCATTGAGTACATGGATTGATAATATGGACAGATTCGCTACATACGAACGAATTGCATGTCAACACAAAATAAGAATGGATAAATATGAAGAAATCTGGAACGAATATTTAAACGATAAGGCACATAGTGGTGGGAAGTAGAGGGAAGAGAGATAGGTGGGAAAATATTGCTTAAAAAGGTGTAGTCATACGTATATCAGTGTATCCAAATCTGAATTGTCAAATTGTGTTATTACTGTTATTATGGTTTTTGTTGTATGTGTCTTTTGCGGTTGATGTTTGTATCAAAAAATTGATTAAATTTTTTTTTTTTAAGGACTGAACCCAGGGCCTTTTACATTCAAAATACAATATATGCTGTATTTCCCAAATCCTTGCAATTCCACCTGTTGGCAGAGCGAATTGCAGGCGAACTGATTTGCTCCTCTGTCCTGTAAACAGCTATAACAAAGCTGGTCTTCACTTACCGCACATTTCACAGCAATGGCCAACGGGCTTCAGGGGGTCCTTGCACATCACCTGTGGACATTGATTCCCAGACTTCTGGAGCAAGGCAGCGCAGATTCTGTCGTGGTCCTTCAACAAGAGCAGGTAGATTACTCAGGGAAGAAAAAGGTTTCCGCCTGCACAAATGAACTGGTTTCCAGAGATCTCCAATGCAGATACCTAGGTGCTCAGACAAAGACTACGATACCCAGTGCTTTTTTTCCTGGGGGGGGGGTACGCAGGAGTACGCACCCCCCAAAAAAAACATTTAATCTAAAGTTGGTCTTATTGAGGGGCAGGATTTCAATATGAGTAGGAAAATGAGGAGAAGAAGAAGAAGAGTTTGGATTTGATATCCCGCTTTATCACTACCCGAAGGAGTCTCAAAGCGGCTAACATTCTCCTTCCCCTTCCTCCTCCACAACAAACACTCTGTGAGGTGAGTGAGGCTGAGAGACTTCAGAGAAGTGTGACTAGCCCAAGGTCACCCAGCAGCCGCATGTGGAGGAGCGGAGACGCGAACCCGGTTCACCAGATTACGAGTCTATCACTCTTAACCACTACACCACACTGGCTCTCAAATGAGAGTACTCCTAATCATTTTTTTAGGGGGGGGGAAGCACTGACTATACCTATTGCCTGCCTGCTTGTAAGAAGAATATAAGAAGAGTCTGCTGGATCCGGCCAAGGGCCCATCTAGTCCAGCATCCTGTTCTCACAGTGGCCAACTAGATGCCTGTTTGAAGCCCACAAGCAAGATTTGAGCGCAATAGCTCCTGTGGTTTCCAGCAACTGGTATTCAGAAGCGTTGCTGCCCCAAACGGTGGAGGCAGAACATAGCCATTATCACTGCCACGCTCCTCTCCTCAACTGCAACTGTCCTGAAATCACCCCCTACAGAGCAGTTAGGCGGGGGGGGGGGGAGAGGAGAGCCTTTCTTTCAATTTCTTTGTCTGATGTACTGTTTTTGTGTATTCTGTTGGAAGCCGCCCAGAGGGGCTGGGGCAACCCGTTCAGATGGGCAGGGCAAAAGCTGTTGTTGTTGTTGTTGTCTAATTCCAGCAAGGAACATCTCTGCAGGCACACCTGTCCCCACAGGTGCCATGTTGGCAATCCATGTATGTGTTGGGCTGGCAGTCTGTCCACCTAACGCCTCCCATTTCTGTCAGAAGTCTCCAATATCCCTACTCCTTTCTTTACTGAATTCACGTTTTATACTGTATTTTATGCTGTTTTTTGTTGCATCAATTAAGTGTTTTAAATTTCTTGTTAGCCACCCTGAGCCCAATTTTTTGAACCGGGAAGGGTGGGGTATGAATAAAATTATTATTATTATTATTATTATTATTATTATTATTATTATTATTATTATTATTATTATTATTTATTACTGGTTATGCAGAAAAAGAGCCCCAGAAGACTTCACTGGCTGCATTGATCCTTATATCTCTGCAAAGTATTCTCAGTGAATCAGCTTCAATAATCTAGCAGTATATAACTGTGCTCATGTGGGTTTTCAATAGGCCAGACTCCTATTGAACTCCTCTCTTGAAGCCCTTGATAACAGAACCTAGTGCCTCAGAGAATGCCAGTGGCCAAGAACTTACCGCAGCATTTCCACATTCGCAGCCCGATTTGTCTGGGCACCTGGTGTTCGACAGCTGGAATGCCCCTTGTCCATGGAACTGTAGCTTTGCAGAGGAACTTTGCATATACTCTGCCAGGGTGTTGTCACTGGTGAACTTCTAATTCCCGTTCAGGAGAAAGTGGCGGCAATGGGGAGGCAGGGGGAAAACAAAACTCAGAAATCAACAGTTCCCTCGAGAAAAACCACCAACAAGATGATCAGATAAAAAGTACAGCTGTTTTTATGTCTCACCAACAACATGATCAGATAAAAAGTGCAGCTGTTTTTATGTCTAAGCAATGAAAACTGCTGTGATTCTGAAATAGCAACCAACTGCTATTGGAAGGGAAGACCCTGTGACCTTGGATAAGCATCGAAACAACAGTGAGGGATAAGGCTTGATTCATGCAAATCAGGCCACTTGAAATCGAGAGTGTGCATGAACACAGCAAGGTTTTTCATGTGTGAAGGCTGCTTGACATGGCGATGTCGCTTTATCACAGTGCCAGAGAAAATGATGTTTCAGACCACCAATGCGCTTAATACAGAGGTGACTAACTGGCAGTTTGAGGTCTCGATCACAAGCAATTTTTTCCTGATCTTCCAAAACGGCACCGGAGGATGTGTATCTCTGTGTGTGCATATGTGTGTGTCTGCTTGCATGTGTGCATGCAAGAACAGAAGTGGATTTAGGGCAGCGCGAGGGGTGCAGGGGCACTGGGTACGCAGCTGAAGTATGTTCTTTTTAAATCTGGTAAGCGCTTGCCAGGCTTCAGCAAGGAGGCATGAGGACTCTGACAAGGTCCTAGAGTCTTCCTGCCTCCTCCCCCCAAACCGGGCAAGTGATTACCTGGGAAAGAGAAGGGAGGGCTTTAGAAGAGTTTGGATTTGATATCCCGCTTTATCACTACCCGAAGGAGTCTCAAAGCGGCTAACATTCTCCTTTCCCTTCCTCCCCCACAACAAACACTCTGTGAGGTGAGTGGGGCTGAGAGACTTCAGAGAAGTGTGACTAGCCTAAGGTCACCCAGCAGCTGCATGTGGAGGAGCGGGGAAGCAAACCCAGTTCACCAGGTTACGAGTCTACCGCTCTTAACACCACACTGGCTCTCTTCAATAGTGGACCCTTCAATAGTGAAGACTGGATCATGCCCTCCCCCAGAGCATCCTAGCTTAGCTGGCGTGGGGAGGTGGGCTGCTGCTTTTATCTAGCAGTAGGGCTATACCTGTTCCCCTCCCCAGGCTATTCACAGTGAATCTGGAAGAAGTTGCCCATCTCCACTCGCAATCCTTTATTTTATTTTTGGAATCGCAAAACAGAAAATGGTGAAGCAGCCACGGTTTCATTTCACAAACGGCCTGTTTTACCTGCCCCATTACTGAAATGCTCCTGAGCCGTATGGCCTGCTCAGACGACTCGATGTTCACACGGAAGGACGTCTCGGGCGGGAAGATAACGTCATCGTACTGACACGGGACTCTTTCTTCATCCACGGAGAAGATGTGTTTGCCTTGATGGAGGTTGTCCAATGAGGTTGCAGCGCGCCACAGGGTGGGGTCATACCAATGGAATTTGTCTGCACCAGCAAAGGTGACTTCTGAAGCTAATAGGGGAGGGAGGGGAGGGAGGGAGGGAGGGGAGGGAGAAGCTTGAGGAGTCTGTTCCGCTTCACTGATATTTATTCTTTTTATTTGTTTATAATTAACGCTAAGATTTCTTTTTTAAAGTGTGGCAAGTGCATGAGGTAAACTCACCCATCTGCATGGCCAGCCGCTGCACATGGGTGACTTCCGATTTTCATAATTAAAAATAAATGAGAACAAGGACTCTAGGAATCACCCTTACCATATTGACATTGTAGACTGCAGAACAGAACCTCTAATACCAAAGCTCATAAATCCACTGAAATTCCGATAATCTGAGCTTTCATTACAAATATAGCGCATTTCTAACTTATTTCAAATATTCCAGTATTCCCCAGATTATCTATCATCTATCTATCTATCTATCTATCTATCTATCTATCTATCTATCTATCTTTGTTACAGATAGGTAGCCGTGTTGGTCTGCCATAGTCAAAACAAAAAAAATTCCTTCCAGTAGCATCTTAAAGACCAACTAAGTTAGTTCTTGGTATGAGCTTTCGTGTGCATGCACACTTCTTCAGATACACTGAAACAGAAGTTGCCAGATCCTTCTATATAGTGAGGTGGTGGGGAGGGGTATTACTCAGAAGGGTGGTGGGAATGGGTGATAGTGAGAAGGATCTGGCAACTTATAGAATATATAGAAGGATTCCTATATAGAAGGATCTGGCAACTTCTGTTTCAGTGTATCTGAAGAAGTGTGCATGCACACGAAAGCTCATACCAAGAACTAACTTAGTTGGTCTTTAAGGTGCTACTGGAAGGAATTTTTTTTGTTTTATCTATCTTTGTGTTATATATATATCTATATATATCTATATATATATTGCTGAAGAATTGATGCTTTTGAATTATGGTGCTGGAGGAGACTCTTGAGAGTCCCATGGACAGCAAGAAGATCAAACCAATCCATTCTGAAGGAAATCAGCCCTGAGTGCTCACTGGAAGGACAGACCCTGAAGCTGAGGCTCCAATACTTTGGCCACCTCATGAGAAGAGAAGACTCCCTGGAAAAGACCCTGATGTTGGGAAAGATGGAGGGCACAAGGAGAAGGGGACGACAGCGGACGAGATGGCTGGACAGTGTTCTCGAAGCTACCAGCATGAGTTTGACCAAACTGCGGGAGGCAGTGGAAGACAGGAGTGCCTGGCGTGCTCTGGTCCATGGGGTCACAAAGAGTCGGACACGACTAAACAACAACAAAATTTGTGTTGCTTGGCTTTACATAATATGGAGGGAAGTCTACAATCATGGGAGCCACACTTTAAGGGGGATATTGACAAACTGGAGTATTCCAAGAGGACAGTAACCAGGATTTTGAGGGTTGTGGAAATCAAGTCGCTAAGAGAGCAGGTTGAATGAGCAAGCTATGTCTTGCCTGGAGACAAGAAGATGAAGGGGAGACATAATAGCAGTCTTCAAATTATCTGAAGAAGGTGGAGCAGACATGTTTCTCTATGGCTCCAATGAACAGGCCTAGAACAATAAGGGGAAGGTCATAGCTCAGTGGTAGAACATCTGTTTTTATGCAGGAGGTCCCAGGCTCAATCGCCTGTATCTAAAGGCAGGGCTGGGAATGCCCACTACCTGAAACCTCAGAGAGCTTCAGTCAACCAGTATAGACCAGTGGATGGGCCAATGGTCTGACAGCTTTCTGTGTTCCAAAGGAGGGAAACTGCAAGGAACCAGACTTTGCCTGGACATCAGGAGAAATGCCCTGATGTTAAGAGCTGTGAAACAGGCTGTCATGGAAGACATCGGCCTCTCCTGGTGGTATTGAAGAAGTTCCTGGACAGCCATCTGCCAGGGATGCCACAGCTGAAGATCCCCCACTGTACAAGGGGTTGGACTAGATCACTGGTCTTCAATTGGTGGGTCAGGACCCCCTAGTGGGTCACAGCTTGATCCAAGATGGGTTGCAACAGGAGCACTGCCATCATGCAAATATATGGTGGGTCCCTAAATGCATGTTTGGTTTAAAGGTGCGTCATGGGTTAGAAGAGGTTGAAGATACCTGGACTAGGTGACCGTAAAGGTCCCTTCCAACTTTACAATGTTATGATTATCTGTGCAAAGGTGGAGATGTTACGCCAGAGGCTTCCTTCTCCCACACTCCCTCCATCTTCCCTCTTACCCTTCCTTGTGAGAATGCACACAATGTGGGCTGAGGTCCATCTTTGTCTTGTTCCCCAGAAAGTTCAGCCTTCCTTCCCCTCTGGCCACTCTTAAGAGGCAGCAAGCTGCATGAACTGCACCTTTGATCTAGATCAGTGGTTCTCAACCTGTGGGTCCCCAGATGTTGTTGAACTACAACTCCCATCACCCCTAGCTAGCAAGGCCAGAGCTCAGGGATGATGGGAGTTGTAGTCCAACAACATCTGGGGACCCACAGGTTGAGAACCACTGATCTAGGTGATGTTGTTGTTTAGTCTCTAACTAAACAACAGGGTCTAACATGAGAGTCTTCGCTTCTCATGAGGTGGCCAAAGTATTGGAGCCTCAGCTTCACGATCTGTCCTTCCAGTGAGCACTCAGGGCTGATTTCCTTCAGAATGGATAGGTTTGGTGATCTTGCAGTCCATGGGACTCTCAAGAGTCTCCTCCAGCACCATAATTTAAAAGCATCAATTCTTCAGCGATCAGCCTTCTTTATGGTCCAGCTCTCACTTCCATACATCACTATTGGGAAAACCATAGCTTCAACTATACGGACCTTTGTCGGCAAGGTGACGTCTCTACTTCTCAAGATGCTGTCTCGGCCTGTCATTGCCCTTCTTCCAAGAAGCAGGCGTCTTTTAATTTCGTGGCTGCTGTCACCATCTGCAGTGATCATGGAGCCCAAGAAAGTAAAATCTCTCACTGCCTCCATTTCTTCCCCTTCTATTTGCCAGGAGGTGACGGGACCAGTGGCCATGATCTTATTTGATGTTGATGTTGAGCTTCTAGGTGATAGCCCACAGCTGATTACTGTGGCTTCATACATATCACCCATCTAAAGCACATGACTACTCCCCCAAAGAATTCTGGGAACTGTAGTTTGTTAAGGGCACTGGGAATTATAGCTCTCAGTGTGGGATAGACACTTCCCAGGGTTCTTTAGAGAAAGTGATGTGCATTGAATGCATGGTGCGTATGCAGCCCAGATTGGCTTGGTGTGATCCAGTAGTTTAGCTCTCAGTCGGCAGAGCATGAGACTCTCAGCCTCAGGGTTGTGGTTTCGAGCCCCACCTTGGGCAAAAGATTCCTGCATTGCAGGGGGTTGGACTAGATGACCCTCATGGTCCCTTCCAACTCTACAGTTCTATGATTCCACGCGGCTATCCTCTGGTTTATTATCCCAGACATATTACAAGAACGCTGCACAGATCTTATGGAAGTCGCTGGGGAGGATCTTCCACAAACATCAAGAGTGAGTAATCCTGGGGAAAGCCGTGGATGACGATAACCGGAACAACTTTATTAGCAATGTATCAGCCACTGGTTCCCCTGCCGCCGCCCCCACCCCAGACCCGGCTCTCTGCAAGTGCAATTGTAAACATGCCATGCACGAACTATATCCCATAGTTCCTCTGCTGGGGAATTTAATATGAAAATAAACAATACACAGGGGCAGCTGTACACAGTCTATTTGCCGAGGTTTATATTTAATTCATTAACAACTTTCTTCCCGTTCAATATTAACGAAGCTGTCACAGATTTGCGCATAAGGCAGCACGCCCGTAAGAACGAAGGACGTCAAGGGCCTTGGTGCAGAATTTAGGTCTGACTTCTGGTCTCCTTAGATGGCATGGGGCCATAGACATCCTGCCCACTCATCTACAGATAAAGCCTCAGCCTCTGTCTCCATACAACAGAGCTCCATACATGCACATCTCCCTGTGTGGAGCTCTGCCTGCACCATGCAGTTCCATCTGGATATGACAAGGAGATGCGGGTGAAGGGGATTCCTAGTTCACTTAAGCAGAGGGCTGCTGTTCATGGGCCATCCCATTCCGTGCACCGTGAGCAAGGCCAGATTTGGGTTTGATGAGGCCCTAAGACAGCGGTTCTCAACCTGTGGGTCCCCAGATGTCGTTGGACTACAACTCCCATCATCCCTGAGCTCTGGCCTTGCTAGCTAGGGGTGATGGGAGTTGTAGTTCAACAACATCTGGGGACCCACAGGTTGAGAAAGGCTGCCCTAAGCTACTGAAGGTAATGGGGCCGTTTATATGTCCAGCTGTCCTTTGTCAACAACAAATTGTCACCATTTTTTGTGTTGAATATATGCTATATGGTGATTTATGGACCTAACGGGTATCTAAAACCATTTGCACATGTTGCCATGCAGCCAGTCCATGCAGAATGCAGGCACTATATATATATAGAATGCGTATCCAGTAGACGTGCAATCACACACAGGCGCATTGCATCAAACCCAGAAGTGCATTTAAAAACTGCAAAAGTGGGCTATGGATATTGGGCATAATATTGGGAAATGCTGAGTGGGGAAAATTATGGAACTCAACAAGGAACTTCTCAGAATGTTACCAAATAGGAGAAAATATGCAGCAGCAACAAAACGCAATATGGATTGGCCAAAAAATTGGCCAAAATGTGCAAAAGAGGTTCAAAATTGTGCTGGAAATGTCTGGTTTGCTTATTCATTTATGGTGGAAATGCAAACAGGCAAAGGTGTTCTAGGAGATGGTGTACAACGAGTTAAAGAAAAAAATTAAAGTTTACTTTCCCTAAGAAACTGGAAGCATTTCTTCTAGGTGTAGTTGGGAACGAATTACCAAAGAAAGCCCACAACTTGTTTCTATATGGAACGACAGGAGCAAGGATAGTATATGCAAGATGCTGGAAACAGAGAGAGATCCCAGGGAAAGAACAATGGCCATATAAATTAACAATATGCAGAACTAGCCAGTATGACATCTAAAATAAGAAATCAAGATGATAAACAGAAGAGGAGTGAGTGGAAATACTTGGGGGAATATTTACAAAAATTCGACCTAAAATATAAATTCCAGGTAGGGGGAACTTTGTGACCAACAGCTGACAATATTAAAGATACGAGAGTGTGGAAAATAAGGTGAATGAACTAGTGTATATGCAGCCAATCAAGATGTGAAAAGAACTGTCATGGAATGCTTGGGTGGGAAGTCAAACAGAACTACTGCATAAGAATGGAAAACTGGAAAACTTAAAAAATAAAATTAAAAAATAAAAGTGGCCCTTGAAGAAACCGAAAAGGATGAAAAAGGGCACAAAAGCTGCACCTGGCAACCCCACAAGTCTTTGCAAGTGCAATGCCAGGAGCCCTTGCACTGACCATTGAAGCCTAGTTTGGCATCTGGTAAGTGCTGCTGGTTTTCCAAAGGATTTTCCAAAGGTTTCCAGATGTTTAGAGGGTATTTGGAGGTTTTTCCCATGGTGTTCCCTATATATGCAATTTCATGTAAACAACACGCGGTGCCTCGGAAATTAACCCCGGTGGAAATGGGGAGTCGCCTGTATCCACACAAAAATGAACCGCATCCAAAATAGTGTTAGGTTGTGCTAGTCCTTTGGACAGTGCGGGAGATGAGCAGAGGGAAGAGAGGCGGGGGGAGTCCCATTGCACAAGCGGAAGTTGTTTTGCTTGCTTGGTTATTTAGTTGGGTACCACCCGTAGGTTCCAAGACTTGGCTCCAGATTAAGTTACGCCCAATGCATCCTTTTTGTTATAGGCCTTGAATCCAGAGAACGTGGATTTCAGTCTCACTATGCTTGTACTAGACGCAATGGAAAGGCAAACAATGAGCGTGATCCCACTGGGAATATTCCCCCATGTAAGCCGCACCGAAATGAATGCAGCTCTCTGGCAAGAGCAAAACAACTCATTTCAATGGGAACCTCTACGGAGACAGTCCTGCAGGAACGCCTGCAACCAATGCTTATCATTTCCTCCACCTCCTCCTCCTCTCTCTCTCTTTCCCCCACCTCCAATTATGGAAAGGAAAGCTAGTTTCGAAACTTTGGGGGAGGGGGCTCCAGGGGGAAGTTAATTATGACTGGGAGAATGACTCGTGAGCAGCAGTGTAACGGAGGCATATTCTCTCTGCGCTTAATTTGCATGACTAATGAACGGTAGGTCGAGCACAATACCTGTCTCACATCCTGGATCAAAAGTGCCGTCGAAGGCTGCAAACCCAGCACCGGGGGCCAGGATGAATTCTCCATCCAGTGGGATGTACTGAAAAAACAAACAAAAGGAAGAAAGGTTGCATCTTGGGGCTCTGTTCTGCCTGAGCCAGCCTCATAACTGAGCGACGTTAACAACATTCTTACACGGCTCCTCTCCGTAAATCCTTTCCACACATGATGAGCTTTAATAATATAGGGCCAGAATCCTCTGTCCGCTAGCCCAAGGGCTGTTGGGTTAGTGGACGGGTGAATTTGCTTATTGCAGAATGAAGGAATCCAACACAGCCGCTGCGCTCGCAGAAAACTATTAGGCAACTGATTGCGCTCTCTAAGGCCGATCGCCGAAGAATTGATGCTTTTGAATTATGGTGCTGGAGGAGACTCTTGAGAGTCCCATGGACTGCAAGAAGATCAAACCTATCCATTCTTAAGGAAATCAGCCCTGAGTGTTCACTGGAAGGACAGATCCTGAAGCTGAGGCTCCAATACTTGGGCCACCTCATGAGAAGAGAAGACTCCCTGGAAAAGACCCTGATGTTGGGAAAGATGGAGGGCACAAGGAGAAGGGGACGACAGAGGACGAGATGGTTGGACAGTGTTCTTGAAGCTAGCAGCATGAGTTTGACCAAACTGGGGGAGGCAGTGGAAAACAGGAGTGCCTGGCGTGCTCTGGTCCATGGGGTCACGAAGAGTCAGACACGACTAAACAACTAAACAACAACAAATTGCACAGCAAAGTTAACCTGCTTGCATTTCTCTTGTGCAATAACGTTCCCTGGAGCAAAACATTTCATGTACTGCTAAGTGACTTCAACTTGGCACTACATTGGGCACAACCCATAGATTCATGGATTGATTCATTCCCAAAGGCCAGCCCACATAGTCTGAAGTGCAGTAGAGTCCCACACCAAGCCACAGGACTCAAAGTTTGCACAAATATGATGTTGACTTTTGCTGTCTGGGTGCCAGAGGGCACATCCACTCTTCTGCTTGCCCCGTGCTAAAAAGCATGGGTCCAAGAGGTTTTCTGCTGGTTTTCTGCTTTCTAGACATGGGTCCAAGAGGATTTTCATTTGCCCTGCTGCATTCCCTAGGAAAACATACTCTTTACTGCTAAACCGGAGCAACCATCAATTTGCAGAAAACCTGGTGGACGTTTCCTGCAATTCAGCAGTAAAGAACAGGTTTTCCCAGGAGAAAGCAGTAGGACAAGTGTTCCCTCCTCACCTGTCTCATGCTCTCTTCTTTCCTGTTGTGCTGAGATTCTCTCCTTTCTATTAGGGAGCAAAGGGCAGGTTGTTATTGCTTTGCAAACCAGCTCAGTGATGAAGCACGTCCAGTGCATGCAGAAGTTCAAGGCTTAGCATCTCCAGTTCAAAGAATAAGATAGCAGGTGGTAGAAAAACCATTTGCCTAAGACCCTGGAGGATCCCTCCCTGTCAGGGTAGACCATGGGTAGGCAAACTAAGGCCCGGGGGCCGGATCTGGCCCAATCGCTTCCTAAATCTGGCCCACGGACGTTCCAGGAATCAGTGTGTTTTTACATGAGTAGAATGTGTGCTTTTATTTAAAATGCATCTCTGGGTTATTTGTGGGGCATAGGAATTCATTCATTCATTCATTTTTCGAAATATAGTCCGGCCCCCCACAAGGTCTGAGGGACAGTGGACCGGCCCCCTCCTGAAAAATTTTGCTGACCCCTGGGGTAGACAATCCCCACCTAGATAGAAAAACTATCTGCTTTGGTGGAAGGCTGCCTTCTAGACAGAATTGGACTGGGTCACTGAGGCCCAGGATCGTTCATGTAGCACCAAACCGTGATTTGGCACAATGTCTGAATCAAGGAAGTATTTCTCCAAAGGTCAGACTCAGTGCTACCACAACTGCACTGTAAAATTTCAAAACCCATCATAGGGCAAGACCTTGATTAGGACAGCCAAAAGTGTCACAAAACAGCACACCAACTTTTGTATTCTAGATGGCAAAAGCTTGCACACTGGGGACATTTTAGTTGACCTAATAACCTAATACGGATTTTCGAATTCTCCTCAACATGGCTACTTTTACCACAAAGCTTGCAACAGGTTATGTCAGATGTCATTGGACGATGACTCCCATCATGGCTGCCTACTGACCAAGGGAATTGGAGTCCCAAACATCTGAATGGTGAAAGTTGGCTTGTATATTGAGCACATTTGGCAGGGCCGCATAAATTGGGGAAAGGAGGGAGCCCACTTTGTCCTCGCATAACAACCCAATGTGGCGACAGGCTAATCAGAGAGGCTAATCAGGTTGACCTGCAGGTCCCAGAGGGTTCAAGCCCAAGTCTTCCCAGTTTCAAAAGTATCCAGGACACCACACCGGAAAAAAGCTGATGGGAAAAGGGCAGGGAAGAATTAAGTTCTTAAAGCGGAGGCCTCCTGCTATGCAGTCGTTTTAATTTGGTTCCTCCGAGCCAAGAACTCTCTCTGCTTCGCTTTGCCTGCAGTCGTGCCAGAGCTGTCCTGCTCTCCTCTCACAGACTGCATCATCAGAGCATGCTGTTCTGCAATGCTGGAAGCACTTGGGAGTGCTGCAAAGAGCTCATTTGCAATCAAGCCTCTGTGACGGCGCTGATTGGGCCCCGACTTCCCTTCTCCCGCCATAAAGCGAGAGCGAGAGCCATTTAGCTAGCCTGGCGCTGATTAAGGTGCCTCTTGGGGGAATGTGGGACTCTTAATATAGAAGCTTCCAGCATGTCTCTTTGCCCTGGACCACATCTCTGGGATTAGAACCGGGGAAGGAAAAGAAGGAAAAATGTAGATTCTGCTGTTACCCAGTTAATTACTTTCTGCCGGTTTTGAGCTGCCTTCGCCTGTCCTCGCCAGCGCTGACCTGCAGGTGGCAGCAGTTGGTCAGAGCTATCTGTACTGTCTAGAATGAGGCGCAATTTCCCTTTCCAGCTGGGGGAGGAAAAAAGGTAATTTAAGGATAAAGAGGCTGGGCCTGTGTCTTCTGGCTACCAATTCAGAAAAACCGTACACCATTTTCATACGTAGAGGAAATTGGGCATGATCAAAGGGAAGAAAGGAAAGGGGTGCTGAGACCGTAAGCTGCAATCGTGGGCTCGTGCGCTAGCCGGCATGTGTGTTTTAATGTTGTGCAACAGAGAAATCCAATGCAACAATTGCGCTAGTGGAAATGGTGTGTTGCTAAGAACTGTCTAGAACAGCAGCATAGCGGACACAGCAGCCTGCACCTGAGAAAGCAGCAAAGCAGTTGAGTTCCCTGTTGCATCTTCTTTCCTCTGGTTACATTTAATCCTTGCTTTGTGATGAATGTCGGAAATGGAGGACTTGTAGCCCGACAGAAATCGGTGGACCCCAACTCCCATCAGCCTGAGCCAGCGTGGCCAATGGTCTGGGATGTGGGAGTTGTTGTTGTTGTTTAGTCGTTTAGTTGTGTCCGACTCTTCGTGACCCCATGGACCAGAGCACGCCAGGCACTCCTGTCTTCCACTGCCTCCCACAGTTTGGTCAAACTCATGCTGGTAGCTTCGAGAACACTGTCCAACCATCTCGTCCTCTGTCGTCCCCTTCTCCTTGTGCCCTCCATCTTTCCCAACATCAGGGTCTTTTCCAGGGAGTCTTCTCTTCTCATCAGGTGGCCAAAGTATTGGAGCCTCAGCTTCAGGATCTGTCCTTCCAGTGAGCACTCAGGGCTGATTTCCTTCAGAATGGATGGGTTTGATCTTCTTGCAGTCCATGGGACTCTCAAGAGTCTCCTCCAGCACCATAATTCAAAAGCATCAATTTTTCGGCGATCAGCCTTCTTTATGGTCCAGCTCTCACTTCCATACATCACTACTGGGAAAACCATAGCTTTAACTATATGGACCTTTGTTGGCAAGGTGATGTCTCTGCTTTTTAAGATGCTGTCTAGGTTTGTCACTGCTTTTCATGGTGGGAGTTAAGAGTTCACCAATATCCAGAGCACCCTAAGTAGGTACCCCATCCTGATATTCACACTGGAACGTGCGCAGAGGAGGGTGACCATGATCCTCAAGGGCCTGGAAACCAAGCCTTATGAGGAATGGCTGAAGGAGCTGGGTATGTTTAGCATGGGAAAGAGGAGGACTGAGAGGAGAAAGGATAGCCAAATATCTCAAGGGCTGCCACATGGAAGAGGGAGAAAGCTTGTTTTCTCCTGCTCTGGTGGGTAGGACTCGAACCAATGGCTTCAAGTTACAAGGAAAGAGATTCTGACTCAACACCAGGAAGAACTTTCTGACAGTAAGTACCCAACCACAACCAAGAAACGTCCATTATATTCTCATATATTAACTGTAAACCTCTTAAGAGGTTCTTCCAGCAAAGGCATTGAGATCAGTTCTTTATGATTTACGCCTTTACTGATACACCACACAGTCTGTTTGGCCGGTTCACAACATTTTGTATGTCCTTATAAAACCTCTTTCCTCAAAGCACGTGGAGTGACAGTCCTTTTTCACCACCAGTTCATTGGACTTAACTGTCCATAAACTGCACAATAGCTTTCTTAAATAAAATAAAAACTTAGGTCTATTGTTCTTCTGCTACTGTAACCACCCCAAATGCATATAGCATAACAAACTGAAATTGTTCATCTCTCTTCATTGCCTCTTGCCCCTTTCTGACACAAGCTTGTGGACTTCCACAGGCAAGACATTGCTGGTAACATCCTCTTCAAGTCCAGAAGACTCCCTATGCGATTTTCATGCTTAATTTTACTTCCTTACCAAGTAGCATTGATTGCAAACAGCATCTCCAAATGATGTCAGGTGATTGGCAGGTGAGAGGCTCCTCCCACTTGCCAAAGATGGCCCCTGGAGAGTGGAGGTAAGGATTTGACCTGCCAGCCAGCTCCAGCTTCCCATCTTTACTCCAAGACAGTATGGAAAATTTATTTTATTTTATTTTATTATTTTTAAATTGAATAAAACTGTAACTCCCAGACCCAGCTGCTTGCCATAGGGCTTAGAACCTGGCTGAGCATGACAGAGCCCAAAATCAAGCGCTGGACCCAAGCCTT